GTTCCCATTTTCTCTGGCAAGAAGTACAAAATAAAGCACATCATTTAAACCATAAGCCATCATTTTAACCCTGGTAAGCATGGTTGTTTCTTAATTAGAAGAGAAACATTTACATCAGAAACAGTTAAATCTAATATTGATTTCAAGTAATGTTAACAATATAATTGTTCTTGAAAGAAATCTATAAGCTACAAAAAGGAAAGAAAGTGACACAGATCCTTAAAACACTTAGCTAAGCCTTTTCTAGATATTAATCATGTGTAAACTTTCTCACAAAACCTTCCCTTTTGTATTCATTTACACTTTCAAATCTAATTATAACCCATTGTCATTTTATAGATCAAGTCCCAACTGTTTCATGGTTTGCTTTCTAATTAAGTATTAGAAACCAAAGGGAATAAGTCTGGGGCTACATTGTCTCAATTTTCACAAACTGACATGCATCCTAAAGATAGTTCATGATTATTTCCATAACATAATGTGAAGGAAAAAAAGATGGAGCGGTGTACATTCCCCCCACATGCTCCAGGGTCAGCAAATATGGTTAATAAGTAGTGATCTTAAAAGTAGAGTTTCTACAACATTGCTAGCAATAACCTAAATCAATATAGCATAACAACACAAGACGGTATGCGGTGAGTGATGAAAAATAAATCTGTGCAAATATCAATGAAAAATGACACAAGACACAAATGTCATTTGTGTTAAAGTTAAAAATATTATCTTACAATATAATAGTATATTATATATACTATTGTATTAACTGAATAGTATTAACTGAATAGTATTAACTATTAGACACAAAGCAAGCAGGAAATTATGGATAAAGCCAATTGTTGCTTTCATTCTACCATATGCCCTTTGCTAATAGAGTGCCACAGAATAATTATTTGAAAGGTTAAGCATTTTGAGATCACTGTAATTACCTGGCATTATTGGGTGACATTATGACATTTTTATAAAACATAAGATATGCATCATAAAAGAGAAAAAGAAAACTGATCATCTTTTTTACTCTCCAGAGATCAACAAAAGTGCCCTTGAATGATTGAGAAGGGTGTTAAAGGCACCTATGAAAACACTTTAATTCCTCAGGTAGCTTGTCTGGACTCTGAAAAATTAGTACAGCTCTCAAAGTCTCAACAGAGGGGGAAAAAAAATCCTCATGTCTGCAATTACTGTCCCTTTATAAACATACTCTCTGAAAAAATATAGTGAGAATACTCGTTGATTTTTAAAGCCATTTACTATTGAGAACTTACAAGATCTTTTCTGTGGAGCATATTTATTTCATAAATCATCCTAGAAACCTGAAAAGAGAAGTCTTCAATGCCTAAATAAATTTTACACCACTATATGCAAAAAAGAAAGTTTGTCAAAATTGCTATTATTAAACACATTCCAATTACTGCTTTACTTCAAACAAGAATCTTAAAAATTTCTAAAAATGCATGAAATGGAAAGAATAATACAACCATGAAAAGGTAATCTTCCGTGGGTCCCTAACACTTTTTCGGAAATGAACAAAGTGTAAACTGCATTTATTTATCCTAATTTTTCCATGTCCACATGCTCACAAAGGACATTATTTTCTCAGGCATTTACCCTGCACACAAAGAGAACTCTTGTACCATGAGGTCTGACCTGTAGTTTCATAAAGAATAAACATATGCAAATAGAAATTACACTTGCAGTTTTGTGTTTTGTGAAAGTTTGGAATGAGAAGTCTCTGGTGAGAAAAAAGAAAAGGTTAGCAATTTTTAATATCCAAAATGATCAGTAATTCACTATTCATATCTCTGGTGAACTACAGAATGTCAATGCTGTCACAAAAGCAAGGTAGAAAATAAAAGTCCTAACAGCTTTAATTCAGTGGGAAAAAAATCCCTGGAAGACTTATTTTTCTCTCTCTAGAGCACTTTAGTTTTGCACAACATGCATTTTATAATTCTTAATTTATATTCAGCAACTGCTCTCTCTGGCTTTAAGACCTTACCCAGTTTCTCTATCTGATATTTCAAAAGATTTTGTTGTTGCTATTTTCTAGTTTAAAATGGATGGTTCTTACTTCTTTCAAAAGAAACAAGATGCCTCGAAAAAGAGGTAGCCAACCTCCAGAAATGAAATTAGTATTGCCGAAATGTAACAATACCTAATATAGGAAGGTGCAGACGCTGAACTAAGCAAGACATACACGTCACCCCGCTTAATTCTCACAGCCCTGTAATGGCCAAACTGAGGCTTAGAGACACTATGGAATTTTCCTAGGGTAACAAATAACTAAATTTCTGAAGAACTGGCAATTTGGCAATTCTGAAGAGCATAGAAATAACTGTTAATTTATTCATGTATTAAATTATTCAACAAATCCGAATACACTACTAAGTACCAAGCATACTGTTAGATGTGGGAATACAAACCAGAATAAGTTTTGATTCCTGACCTCAAGGATGTTACTTTTTAGTTTGGAAGAGAGACCTTTAAGTAAACATAGTGTCACCATAGATATTACAGCCCCTAGTAGCAGAAGTCCTGAACAATACAAAATTGAAACTATTATCTAACTAATAAAAATTTATAATAGGAACAAAGTAGAAAACAGTCGGCAAACTCATCCAACAAGTAACTTATTCTGTATTTATGGCACTGACATAAAATAATAAACATAAAAATCAATCATAATATTTTAAAAAAATATACAATATAATATTTATCATCTGAAAAATTTTCATGGAATTGAGCTTTTATTTCAAGTTGGTGTAGGTTTAGCTGAACTGGGACTGTGCTAATTTAAGGGACCCGATTTGCAGCAATAATTGGAGAACTCAATGCCCATTACTAGTTATACCAAAGGATTGCTACTGTTTTGAGGATTAAAACTGAGTCTGATATCAAACATATTCACTAAATTAAATAATCATGCTCAATATTTCAATTGAATGACTGGCATCCACTTTTTATCTATTGAAAAGCCAGCATTAGATATTATATGTTAAAAACTACTAGTGAGAATGCACACCTAAGAACTTTCAAAGAAATATAGAATTTGAGCCTGGTAAATTTACATAAAAGAGCTTCAGGATATAAAAACAGGGCCTTTTTTATTAATAAATAATATAACTTCTTTATAGAACAGAAAATGGACTAAGACAACTTCTCTCATGTCGGCAGAGTGATCTGAATATCAAATCAAGTACCAAGGTCGCAGGCACCAAGTATGAAGTGAGTTTGCCATCTATACTAAGACTTTCAGGTCTGTCTCATATAGCTGACCATTAGGTTTACTTTCAGTCTTTTATCATTAATACCATTAAACTTAACACTATCTTAAATTCTGCACAAATGAATATTTCTCAAAAATATGTATTTTTTAAGATGCTATGTTTGCTGACACTCATTTAGTACAATGTGTTTTAGTTTCTAAGTGCAGTTCTGTTTTTCTTATAAGATTGGAATCAGTTTTTGGAGAGCAAAAACTGGTTTGCACAATGACCATTATAGAGTTCGTGCTCAAAATATGTCTTGAATAGAACTGAATGCGTATTTCTAATTTCAAAGTATTTTGTATCTCTGGCAGTTTACTTAAAAAGCAGAAAAACCACCAATTCACATTCGCCATCTCTATTGGTGTGTCCGATGCTATGAAATTTTGCCTATCATATTTCCCAAGATGCAATAATGTTTCAAAGACATTTTAACACATGAGAAAAGAAGCTTCCGAGTAAAAGGTCATTACTTTCATGTTAACATTATTATTTTCAAGATCTTTGTCACAAAAGACTTTATATGGCTTGTCACAATTTAAGATAAAAATGTTATGACTGTCATTTGCCTTTTATTAAATAAATAACATTACATAAATACTATTTATATTAGCAATATGAAACAACTTTTAATCACTTATAAAATTCAGGTATTTTTCTACTTTCTCACTTTTCTAAAATGGTTTATTTAGTACTTTTAATATTTTTCTAGAATATATCAGCCACTGACATAGTGTGAGCTCATTGCAAATAAAAAATGTAAATTATCATTTGGTTATTGGGAGAATAAATAATTAATATTTATAAAACACTCAAGTTATTTATAAAAAGCATTTTATATAGGTATTATTATTTCTATATACTATTTTTAATACATTAAGATAACAACATTAAGAAAAATTTGCCTCAGTCTGCTACAATAGCATTTTAATTGAAAACTCTCAATCGAAAGGCAATTTGAGATATCTTAAAAGAGGTAAAATTCTGGATAATATAAGAATCTATTAAATATGTTATAAAAGCAATATTAAGATTTTAGTTTACCAAAATTAACCCATTCAATATAAGTATTAAATCATATGTTGATTTAGAGTTTGATAACAAAATAGCCACATATGAATAAAATGGAAAATACTTAAGGATAAAAACCTATCTTGAGTAAACTAAGTTTATACTATTCTAAAGAATCCAAATGATACTGAT